GTCAGTGGCCTCTATCAGCACATCCTGCTATCCCTGCAGAAGATCCTGGCAGATCCTGTGCGGCCGCTCTGCTCTCACTATGGGGCCGTTGTGGGGCTGCATGCTCTTGGCTGGAAGGTGAGGACCCGTGCCTTTCCCACAGAGCCATAAGAACTCCCATTTGTGTTAGAAAAATAGTATTTGTGTGTCTATCATAAAAATGGTATGTGCTTGTTACTGCCATGTATTGAGTTCTTGCCTCAGGCCAGGCTCAGTGATAGCTTGACTTTCCGTATGTAAATGTCTCATCCTTTCAAAAGTCCTGTATGGCAGATACTGACGTACACCCAGTTTTATAAATTCCTGCCCGTTCTATATTATCACATTAAGAAATACCTTTGGGCCGGGTGCGGTGGCTCAAGCCTGTAATCCCAGCACTTTGGGAGGCCGAGGCAGGTGGATCACAAGGTCAAGAGATCGAGACCATCCTGGTCAACATGGTGAAACCCTGTCTCTACTAAAAATACAAAAATTAGCTGGGCGTGGTGGCGCATGCCTATAATCCCAGCTACTCAGGAGGCTGAGGCAGGAGAATCGCTTGAACTTGGGAGGCGGAGGTGGCAGGGAGCGAAGATTGTACCACTGCACTCCAGCCTGGGCGACAAAGCAAGATTCCGTCTCAAAAAAAAAGAAAAAAGAAATACCTTCGACCAGACATGGTGGCTCACACCTTTGAGCCAGCACTTTGAGAGGCGGAAGCAGTTGAATCATGACAGGAGATTGAGACCATCCTGGCTAACACACTGAAAACTCGTCTCTACTAAAAATATAAAACAGCCAGGTGTGCTGGTTCGCACCTGTAGTGTCAGCTACTAGGCAGGCTGAGGCAGGAGAATCCTTTGAACCTGGGAGGTGGAGGTTGCAGTGAGCCGAGATCAGGCTACTGCACTCCAGCTTGGGCAACAGAGCAAGACTCCATCTCAGAAAAAAAAATCTTCAATTCCTGATGTATTGAGCATTTTCTAGTTTTATTTTATTTTATTTTATTTTTTGACATGGAATCTCGCACTGTCACCCAGGCTGTAGCACAGTGGTGCGTCCGCCTCCTGGGTTCAAGCAATTCTGCTGCCTCAGCCTCCCAAGTAGCTGGGACTACAGGCATGCGCCACCGTGCCCAGCTAATTTTTTTTTGTATTTTTAGTAGAGACGGGGTTTCACCATGTTGGCCAGGATGGTCTCGATTTCCTGACCTTGTGATCTGCCCACCTTGGCTTCCTAAAGTGCTGGGATTATAGGCATGAGCCATTGTGCTGGTCTGTATTTTACACATGAATAGATACTGAATTTTGTCATACCTTTTTAGCATCTATAGAAATTATCAAACAATTATGTGCTTTAAAAGTTAGGTGTTGCCGGTGGCAGTGGCTCACGCCTGTAATCCCAGCACTTATGGAGGCTGAGGTGGGTAGATCACCTGAAGTCAGGAGTTTGAGACCAACCTGGCCAACATGCTGTCTCTAATAAATACAGAATACAAAAATTAGCCGGGCATGGTGGTGCATGCCTATAATCCCAGCTCCTCTGGAGGCTGAGGCATGTGAGTCACTAGAATCTGGGAGGGGTAGGTAGCAATGAACCGAGATTGTGCCATCGCACTCCAGCCTGGGCAAGAGTCAGACTCTGTCTCAAAAAGAAATAAAGAAGAAAAAAAAATTATCTCACCTGGTGCAGTAGCTCATGCCTGTAGTGTTTTGGGAAGCTGAGGTGGGAGGATCACTTGCGCTGAGCAGTTCAAGACTAATTTCAGCAACATAGTGAGATCTCATCTCTACAAAAAAATTTTAAAAATTAGCAAAGCGCGACTGGCATGCAGATTCAGTCCCAGCTACTTGGGATGCTGGGAGGATTGCTTGATCCTGGGAGGTTAAGGCTGCAAAGAGCCAGATTCCTGCACTCCATTGTGGGTGACAGCATGAGACTGTCTCAAAAAAAAAAAAAAGAAACCAATCTGTTCCTAAATTCTTGCTGTCCTTCGATGCTGTTGTAATGGTGTCTTTATGGCGTTTCTGTCACCCAGGCTGGAGTGCAGTGGTGCGATCTCGGCTCACTGCAACCTCTGCCTCCTGGGTTCAAGCGATTCTCCTGCCTCAGCCTCCCGAGTAGCTGGAACTACAGGCGTGTGCCACCAATGCCTGGCTAATTTTTTGTATTTTTAGTAGACGGGGTTTCACCATGTTATCCAGGATAGTTTCGATCTCCTGACCTCGTGATCTGCCCATCTTGGCCTCCCAAAGTGCTGCGATTACAGGCATGAGCCACCGTACCCCGCTATGGTGTTAGTTTCTTGCTCGTGTATACAGATGGAATTCATTTTCGCATTTGTATCTTCCTAAACTATCCAGTTACTTTGCTAAGTACTGGGGATACATACAGGGTATAAAGACAGATAATAGTGACCCCACTATCACTGTTACATGGGTGAAGGGCTAAGAGGGCATATGTAATGCCTATTGTTAACAGAAATTTACAGTGCAAACTGCCACCCTATACAATAAGCAGGAAAAGTACTGTCCAGCTACTTTCTTAAACTATTATTTCTAATTGTACATTCTTTGGGGATTTTAATATAGATGATCATATCATATGCAAATAATGACGGCTTTATTTTCCTTTTTTTAAGAGGCAGGGTCTCACTTTGTTGCCCAGGCTGGAGTAAGGCATGATCATAGCTCACTGCAGCTTGACCTCCTGGGTTCCACCTGGGTAGCTGGGACTATAGGCATGTGTCACTATGCCTGGCTAATTAAAAACAAGCACAGTGGCTCACGCCTGTAATCCCAACACTTTGGGAGGCCAAGACAGGTGGATCACCTGAGATTGGGTGCTAGAGAAACATGGAGAAACTCTTTCTCTACTAAAAATACAGAATTAGCTAGGTGTGGTGGCACATGTGTATAATCGCAGCTACTCCAGAGGCTGAGGCAGGAGAATCACCTGAGCCTGGGAGGCAGAGGTTGCAGTGAGCCAAGATTGTGCCATTGTGCTCCAGCCTGGGCAATGAGAGCGAAACTGTGTCTCAAAAAAAAAAAAAAAAAAAAATTATAGAGACAGGGTCTCACTGTGTTGTCCAGGCTGTTATCAAACTCCTGGCTTCAAGTGATCCTCCAGTGGGCCTCCCAAAATGCTAAGATTATAGGCATTGAGCCCAAGAGTTTTAGACCAACCTGGGCAACATGGCAAAACCCTGTCTCCACAAAAAAGAAAAAAATTAGTGGGGTGTGGTGGCTCATACCTGTAGTCCCAGCTACTTGGGAGGCTGAGGTGGGAGGATTGCTTGAGCCCAGGTGGTTGAGGCTGCAGTGAGTCATGATCGTTGCACTAACTCCAGCCTGAGCAACAGAGCTAGACCCTGTCTCAAGAAAAAAAAAAAAAAAAGCAAAAAATCAAAACCACAAAAACATACCACTTTTGGGTTTGCTCAATTTTAGTAAGGTTTATCTATTCATGAGTGAAGTTAAACATATTTCCTCTCATGTACTCTCCTTGTCTGGTTTTAGAATCAGGGTTATACTGGCCCTAGAGAATGAGGTGGGAAGTATTTCTTTTTTACATTTACTTTTATAGGATTTAGGTCGTAGAGACGGGGTTTCTCCGTGTTGGCCAGGTTGGTCTCGAACTTCTGATTTTGTAATCTGCCTGCCTTGGCCTCCCAAAGTGCTGGGATTACAGGTGTGAGTCACTGCACACGGTCTGTACTTTTATTCCCAACGCTTAGCTTAGGTACACAGTAGGTTCCAAATAAATGTATGGCTGAATATGCCAATCAGGGAATTTAGGAGGATTGCGCCTTGTCTAGGATCAGAAATAAAGGTAGGTCTTTCATGGGAAAAGGTCCTTGAGAGGAAATAATAACGAAGAGACGCTAACTGCATTCCTTCTCTTCCTTCCAGGCAGTTGAACGAGTCCTGTATCCACACCTGTCCACTTATTGGACAAACTTGCAGGCTGTGCTGGATGATTATTCAGTATCTAATGCCCAGGTCAAAGCAGATGGGCACAAAGTCTATGGAGCCATTCTGGTGAGTGCCATCCCCATCCAGCCTCCCTTCCTTGCATGAGCTTAGCAGCCAAGCAGGCTTACTTTGGAGTACTTGATGGTCCCAGGTTCCTCGAAGTTCTTGCCTGTCTTAGTCCCTGACTCTTACAGGTGGCTGTAGAGCGACTGCTGAAGATGAAGGCCCAGGCAGCAGAGCCCAACAGGGGTGGCCCAGGTGGCAGGGGGTGCCGGCACCTGGACGACCTGCCTTGGGACAGCCTTCTCTTGCAAGAGCCTTCTTCCGGGAGCGGTACAGAGCCCAGCTTTGGGTCCGGTCTCCCGTTGCCGCCAGGGGGCGCGGGGCCGGAGGATCTTTCTCCTTCGGTGACCCTGGCGGACATCTACCGGGAGCTCTACGCCTTCTTCGGTGACAGCTTGGCCACACGCTTCGGTACAGGCCAGCCTGCACCCACGGCTCCGCGGCCGCCCGGGGACAAGAAGGAGCCGGCGGCCGCCCCGGACTCAGTGCGGAAGATGCCGCAGCTGACGGCGAGCGCCATGGTCAGCCCGCAGGGCGATGAGAGCCCTCGGGGCAGCAGCGGCGTCGGCCCCGCGTCGGCCTCTGGGCCCGCCGCCTCTGAGAGCAGGCCCCTACCACGCGTGCACAGGGCGCGCGGAGCGCCCCGGCAACAGGGGCCCGGGGCCGGCACCCGCGACGTCTTCCAGAAGAGCCGGTTCGCCCCGCGCGGCGCCCCCCACTTTCGTTTTATCATCGCCGGGCGGCAGGCTGGGAGGCGCTGCCGCGGGCGCCTTTTCCAGACTGCCTTCCCCGCGCCATACGGGCCTAGCCCGGCCTCCCGCTACGTGCAGAAACTGCCCATGATCGGCCGCACCAGCCGCCCCGCCCGCCGCTGGGCGCTCTCGGACTACTCGCTGTACTTGCCGCTCTGAGGTGGTTGCCGCCTACGTTTTTGTAAATAAATCCCGCCTCCGGAAGTGATGTTTCCGCTCTCGTGGGTTTCGCCGGATGAGGCGGGGTTTGGGCGAGTTGCTGCGGCAGCGTCGCTTCCTAGCAGTCGGGGCGCCATGGGGCTGCCCTGGCTGCAGCGCTTCGAGCTCGTGCTCTTTGCCGCCGCCTTCCTTTGCGGGGCCGTGGCGGCCGCGGCGCTGACTCGGACCCAGGTGCGGCTGTGGGGCGGGGCAGGTAGGCGGGGAAGCTGACCAGTCCTGACATGGCGAGGCCACTGTCGCTTTCCGATCCGGCTTGCTGTTGCTCCGAGCCGGTGGATCTAGTGAGGCCCGGCTGGCGCCGGCCTGTGGCTAAAATGCAGCGACGCGAATCGCGCTTTGTGGCTCCTTCTGGCCAGGTCATACTTCGAAGTTGTTCCCTTGCCAAAGGGACGAGTCAGTAGCGTCTTACAGAACTAGACGGAATCGGGCTTGGTGGCTCCTGCTGCACCACCCTGCTCTGGTTCTGAAACAAGTCGGTGCAGGCTCTACGTCCATCCGTTAAATCAGAAACCATTTGTGCTGAGCTTTGTCGAGAAATAAAGCATAGTGTGGTGGAGATGATCAGGCTACCACATGATTGCAGCACAATGTATTAAATGACAAAATAGAGATGTAGAAAACGCTGACGTAAAGGTAGAAACCAATAATTTATATCGTTTACCCCAGCCAGGTAATCTTGTTAGTAAACATGGGTTCATTTAATTCCCATAACGTAGGCACTAGCGTGCCTATTTTACACCATTAGAAAACCTCAGAGATCTGCCGGGTGCGGTGGCTCACACTGTTGATCCCAGCACTTTGGGAGGCCTAGGCGGGCGGATCACTTGAGGTCAGGAGTTTGAGACCAGCCTGGCCAACGTGGTGAAACCTTGTCTTTACTAAAAATACAAAAATTAGCTGGGCGTGGTGTGGGCGCCTGTAATCCCAGCTACTCAGGAGGCTGAGGCAGGAAAATTGCTTGAACCCAGGAGGTGGAGGTTGCAGTGTGCTAAGATCGTGCCATTGCACTCCAGCCTGGGCACAAGAGCAAAACTCCATTTCAGAAAAAAAACAAAGAAAGAATACCTCAGAGATACTTATTTGTTGAAGAATATACAAGGCCTGGGATAACTCTAAGGTTTCTTCTACACAGAGCCCAGAACTTGTGAGGCTTCTCTGAAGCTCATTGTATTCTACAATCGTTGTGTATTTTCTGATCCTTGGGCCACTGCAGGTTTGATTACCCAGCAGGCCCTCTCCATCAATATCCTTGTCCCAGAAACAGGAATTGACAGTGCACAAATAACTTCCTGGAATAGTCCTGGACTAGGTTATCACTAACACCTACCAAGGGACTGCGTCCAGAGGCATTAACCTGAAATCTAGGACTCAGCAGCTTCTCTCCGCAGGGTTCCTTCAGTGGTAGATGTCCCCTGTACGGTGTGGCTATCCTGAATGGCTCCTCCCTGGCCTTATCCCGTCCCTCGGCCCCATCCCTCTGCTACTTTGTAGCTGGGGCCTCTGGCCTCTTGGCCCTCTACTGCCTCCTGCTTCTGCTCTTCTGGGTCTACAGCAGCTGCATCGAGGACTCCCACAGGTGATTGCTCAACCCTGAGGGCCAGGGGCTGAGGTAGGATGAGTCTCCCCTCAACCCCAAGGCTTGTTCTCTTCCTCTCAGAGGTCCTATAGGGCTGCGCATTGCACTGGCCATCTCAGCAATAGCCATCTTCCTGGTCTTGGTGTCTGCCTGTATCCTTCGATTTGGCACCAGGTCTTTCTGCAACTCCATCATCTCCCTGAACACTACAATTAGGTAATGGGAGAGGGAGGGAATCCTGGCTGGGGCTGTCTATCTTCCCTCTCATGGGGGTCTTGTAATTTCCCCTTTTATCCCCATCAGTTGCTCTCAACTCACAGGGCATTGGGCACGGGTGTGCCTCAAATATAAACTTATCACCCTTTCTCACAACTGTCTCTTCGACCTCACAGCTGTTCTGAAGCCCAGAAAATTCCATGGACACCCCCTGGAACTGCTGTGCAGTTTTACTTCAACCTACACAATGCTGAAGTGAGACCCAGGGATACACAGAAAGATTCACATAAGTATCTGTAGCTGTGTGGGTGCTCACCAGTATATAATGAGCTTGTTGGCCCACCAGTGAGAGAAGCTGAGGGGCTTGTCAACCTAAAATTCAGCAGTTAAGAGTGGTGTGTGGGTGGGAAGGGCTGGATTTGAAATGGTCCCACTCCTCACACCCCTTTCCCTGTCTCCCACAGACCTCTTCTTGGGTGAATTTGATATTGTGGTGTGTGGTCTTGGTGCTCCAGGTCGTGCAGTGGAAGTCTGAAGCCACCCCATGCCGGCCTCTGGAGAGGGGTGACCCTGAGTGGAGTTCTGAGACAAATGCTCTCATTGGGCCACGCCCTTCCCATTTCTGAAGAATAACCAGAGTGCTTCCTGCAGCCAAACACTCCATGCCCAAGTGCCTGCAGTCCTCTTGCCCCCACGAAGCCCTGTTTATGCTGGGAGCCTTAGTTTTCCCTTCAGGAGGGAAATGTAATGACAGGCCCCCCTCCACCTCTTCCTACAGCTGTTTTTGTACCAAAATATATTACTATCTTCATCTTAGGAGTGAGTTTTTGATGTTAAAGCACAAGTAGATGGGAGGAAGGAGTGAAGGCTCAACAGACATGGATTGAAACTTAGAGGTACTGTCCAGCAGCTGCCCTAGGGATGACTGCTCCTTTATTTGTTAATGAATCTTGGGCCCTCCTTGCGAGACCCTGGTTGTTACTCCATCTCTAAGGTTGTCTTTTTTTTTTTTTTTTTGGAAATAGAGACAAGGTCTTGCTATGTTGCCCAGGCTGTTCTCAACCTGGGCTCAAGCAGTCCTCCTGCCTCAGCCTCCCAAAGTACTACGATTACAATAGGTGTGAACACACCTGGCTCTCCAAGGTTCCGTTTTTTTGCCTCTCTTGGAGAGGTGAGTGAATCGAGGTTGTTTCTTCACAGGCTCCGGTAGGCACCCACAGTATTGTCAAAGAGCTTTGTGTTAGGGAAGCGTCCAGCTTTGTCCAAGAGGAAATAGAAGCGCCGGCCTTTGACTTTCAGAGGTAGCATGGCAGGAACTTCATCCCGGTGGGCCATGCAGGATACCTGGTTCAAAGGAACTGTGAAATTGGCCCACAAGCCAAAGGGGGCATGAGTGGTGAGGGTCACCTGCTGCCCTCCAGCTCGAAGCACCACTGAGCGCACAGACCGGAGAGAGAAGAGAAGACCAGCACCAAGTACCAGGGCTCCTGCAGGAAGAGCAGGGATTGGGGTGAGGCGTTTTCACTGGACAACTAAGTACCCACCTTCCTAGTCTCCTCTAAGAAATTTGGGGGGGGTGAAAGTAATATTTACTGAGCTCCTCTTATGCCCTAGAATCCTGATATTCCTCCCTACAGCCTTAATAGATGTCAGTTTCCATTTTAAAGGGAAGACAAAGATTCCCGAGTTGTTTTTGTTTTTTGAGATGGACTCTCAGTGTCTCCTAGGATGCAGTGCAGTGGCACGATCTCGGCTCACTGCAACTTCCGCCTCCCAGATTCAAGCGATTCTTCTGCCTCAGCCTCCCGAATAGCTGGCACTACGGGTGCACACGTCCGGCCAATTTTTTTTTTTTTTGTATTTTTAGTAGAGAAGTGGTTTCACGATATTGGCCAGGCTGGTCTTGAACTCCTGACCTCGTGATCCTCCAGCCTTGGCCTCCCAAAGTGTCGGGATTACGATTGTGAGCCACCGCGCCCGGCCGGGTCCACAGCTTTAAGGACCTTGCTCAAGGTTGCAGAGTGAAGGGCAGACCTCAGCCTAGACTATGACTGGGCACGGTGCTCAGAGACATCAGTGTTTCGCATTTCTATGGGGCAAGCCCACCCGCCACTCTTGCTCATCTGGGATAAAGGCCTCTGATACTCCCTGCCTGCGTATGGAGGGTCCTGTTCTGCCACCCCATGTTGAAATAGTAGGAAGGCAGCCCCCGTCTTACCGATGGTGCCGCAGCCGACTGCCAGACCGTAGCGCCAAAGCGCAGAGCGCAGGTCGCGGCCATGGTTTGGGACCTCCTCATCCTGAGGCTGCACCGAGACATGGGGCCGGGACACGGTTGCCACAGCCAGGGAGGCCCAGAAGACGCCCTGGCCCGCGCAGAACAGCCCAAGGATGGTAAAGAAGCGGCCCCGTTCGTGCTCAAAGAGCAGCACATCCCGTTGCAAGGTCGCGACTTGCAGGAGCCGGCGCGTGGGCAGTGTCCGCAACGCCGCTAGCAGCCCCGTGAGCCACCGCCTCCTAAGTGCCGCCATGACTATCCAACTTCCGGGGCGGGACTTCCTGCCGCGGAGCCACCTCCCCTCTTCCGGGACGCCCTCCCCGCCTCCCCTCTTCCCTGGCTACAGGGCCCGCCCTCCCGCTCAGGGCTGGGAGGAGAAAACGGATCCAGCACGCAGAACACAAAATACAACATCACTGTTTATCTTAAAAAGTAAGGAGGTCCTGGGGTTAAGTACACAAAGCACCTAAGTCCTTCGGGTAGTTTAGTGTCAGTTCTACAAAGTAAGCTTTGGCTTCCTGGCACCAATGAGGCTCAATCTTCTGAAGTCTTCGAGAAGGCAGGTGAGAAGGATCCAGCAGCCCTCCCTCCTCGGTCACAGTCACAGGGCAGCCTTGGGCCAGACAGGAGGAGATGACAGATGACAACCAGATAGTAATATCCAACGGCTATTTACAGAGGGGCTGCTTCTGGGGCATGACTACCATCACTTCATGAATGCCACTTCTGGGATCTCGCCCTTGGCCTGGAGAAAAATGAAAGGTCAGTAGAGGCAGGCCTACCCTCCCCACTTAGCAACCCCAGCTAACCTGACCTCCTGAAGGCGAGGAGATCCTAGTGTTTTTGCCACTGTATTTCCAGACCTTACCTTGAGATGAGTGAAGGCCTGGGCAGATCTGGTGTAGTCCCAGTTGTTGTCCTGAAGGCACCTGGAGTAGGGAGAACAGGCAGCTCCATAAGAACTCTGACCCCGGCCAGGAGCAGTGGCTCACGCCTGTAATCCCAGCACTTTGGGAGGCTGAGATGTGTGGATCACTTGAGGCCAGGAGTTTGAGACCAGCTTGGCCAACATGGTGAAACCCCATCGCTTTAAAAAAAAAAAAAAAAAAAAAAATGCCGGGCGCGGTGGCTCATGCCTGTAATCCCAGCACTTTGGGAGGCCGAGCGGGTGGATCACAAGGTCAAGAGA